ACACAAAAGAGGCATGGCGGCGCTGTGCCAACCGGGCCTCAGCTCGCTTCGACAATGACAGCCGCTTATTTGACAGGCTGTACTGTCCCACAGAGCATCAGGGCTGCAGCTCCTGCTCGTTACCCCTGGGTCTTTAAGTTCCTCACTGATTCATGTTCATCTACATCAACTCCACAGACACTTGATTATCTCTCAGTCTTGTTTAACAATTTTCTTAACTCTCCTTCTCTTCTCTCTAGCTTGCTTTTGGCAACCTGCTGTCCTGTCCTGTCCTCTATGAGAGTGGGACACAAAGATGCAACAATACCCAACTAAGGCAGCAGCAAAACCAAATAAAATAAACTAAACCAATGCATTAAACTCATTCTTGAACCTTTGTGCCACGATCACATAATGGAGCTACAGTAGGATCAGTGGCCACAGACTTCGACGGCCACCTACTTTTTCACAAAACCAAATAAAAAAAAGTTCAGTTGGCGGAACTTTTTTTTGTTCCTCAGCAGATAAACTAGGCGTTTGACAAGGAGACGGCACTGAGCAAACTCCATGCCCTGAACAAGGCAGGGTTATTTAAAGGTATTAAAGGTTGAGGAAAATGATACTCACTGCATCTTGAGTTAAGATTTTTAACAAGAAAACAAGGTTCAGCTCCCTGCGGTGCCACAGTCCTCTCTGTCCACACACATCACACATCCCGATGTTCAGCAAAGCCTCCAGTCACTGAGCAGACACAACATGTGCTGACTCTTTATAAGATGTGTGACACCAGGAACAACCGTGATGAAGGTGACTGTAAATGGATTGATCTTTCCTGTAGTGAGTCATTACTGAGGGTGCAAAGGTCGACGTGCATGTGCAGGGTTCGCTATACTATTAAAGTTTTAGAGGATGTTTCTAAGTTTAGAACTAAATACAAATAAAATCTCATTGGGACTAAAACTAAATCTATTTCATGCATAATGAACTCCTTCACTCCTTTCTTTTGGATATACTATATCCTTATCAACTGGAACATGGCTAAGTTTTTCTATTTCCTGATATTGTTCCAGAATATACACATCCATAGTGATGATGATAATGGTGAGAGGACATAAAATGCACCCAAAAGAATCCGTCTCTCCACACTCGTGCAATGTATATGTGGCTGGCAGCTGCACTGGACTCTGACCTTTGAACACTGTTTCCAGTGGAATCACATGATGAAGGCAGTGAGTGGGGTTCCTCAGAAGCTTATTTCTGGCAACAGTCAGCCAGGATGTAAAAATAAAGCCATTTAATAGAGCCAGTGGTGGAAAGGTAGGGTGAGAAACACCACCAGTGTGTTACCATGTCAAACTGTGGTAAAGGCTGTGGCAGACCACAACAAACACTGGGAGTCTAGAGTGTTTACTGGATTCAGACCAACCAGCAGTCACTGGGTTTCACTCTGTTAAGATGCATGTGAGGCAGCTTTATTGTAACTCATCAGGTTGCTGTAACAAAACGAATCATTTTCACCACATTAGTGTTTTTACCACTGAACCGGTGATGATTCAGGCGTGCTGTTACCACTGGAGACAGCTTCCCTGAGTGTCGGCTGCTGGTGTCACAGAAACGAGTCAACAAACAGCTGACAAGCAAAATATTATCACAACCAAATAACAGTGAAAGCCAAACACTGGGCCTCAGAAATGAAAACCTAAGGGAAACCTGTCTCCCCAAACGTTGCCATTACTGTCAATAGGATACAACAGCTGCCTCCCAGAAACCAGCAACTAAAATGTGTTGGTTAAGCTTCAGCAAATCAGAATCAGCTTTATTGGCCAGGTGTATTGGACACACCAGTAATTTCACTGTGGTACAGCGGCTCTCTGTGTGCACGCACAATGTTCTTCTTCCATAAGGCAACGAGTCAACAAGACCGGGAACAAAAACAGGAAAGGAATGTGCAAACAAGAAAAAAGAATTTGCATTAGGAAAACAAAAATGAAGCACTTACAGAAATATACATACACAGTTTTCAGATGGATATATACGAAAGTATATTTACAGGTATTGCACCGAGGGTTGTGCAAGATCACCAAAGAAAAATCATAGTGCTGACTTTATGTGTCTGACGAGAAACACACCGGCAAAACTGATGCTGAAGTCAACGGCCACACACACACACACACACACACATTTACCACCATGAATGCTTTGGTTCTGATGGCTCCGGAAACCCATTTATCAAAAAGGATATTAATGATTTGTCAGCTTGTGTCTTCTGTGTGCCAGCTGTTGAGAATCACTGAAGTCGTTTTCAAAACCAAAATGCCAAAATTCTAGTGGTTTCAGCTTCACAAATGTGGCCATTTGCTGGTTTTATTACACTCCTATTAATGTCAAATGAACATAAAATGAACAGTTATTACTCTGTGGGGTAGAGTTTCTAACAGATGCATCTTAAATGTGATGATTTGCTTGGTTTCACAGTCAAGTAAACAGATTTTTTAAAATGTGACAAAACGCCATTTAAAGGGCTTGTTCACCGCTGGACATGGTCATTCAGCCACGGTCAAACTGCTGCATATTGTTTGTTTTAACCCGATACAAACATACTTTAAAAATATATGATGAGTTACTGTTTTTGGATACGAGGAGAGGCCACAACTCAAGAGCCAAAGTGCACTGGAAGGTGTCCTTAGAAAATAAGTGAATAAGCAGAGGAAATGCCACGATGACACCTCCATTATTCCCATACATCAGTCTGTCAAGTGCTGAATCATAAGTTTTTTGTTGTGCTTTTGGGACTACATTATTTGAATTACCTCCAAAATGATGAAATCAAAATGAGTAACCTTCCTTTTCTTTAACAGCCTTACAGTAAGTGGACAAGCACATAAAAACATTCCAGCACATTTACTTTCTGGCATCAGCAGCTGCTGTGAAACACTGCAACTCAATGAACACAGCATTGTTTACCGGACAGTCGTCATAAATCAAACTAATTATCAGAGCAATTATGACTTCCAGGCAGCAACCGCCTCAGTGTGGGTCATACCAGGACAAACGCAATACAATATAGAGGAAAGGGCACAACACATCAGTGAGGAGACAAAGACCAGTGAACTCACACACACTTTTCATGTGCAGCGTGACACAGACGCGCTCACAGGTCTCCCTCCCTAAAATGGCCGACAGATCTCCGGTGAAGCACCGAGGCGTCGGTGGGAGGAGGAAATGCTGCTGGGCTCAGCTCACTGTCTGTCTCCTAATGTCATTGTGTCTCTTTCCCTTTCCTTGACTGGCTTTCATCCCGGATGACAGAGTCCACCGTCTCTGACCTGTGCCCTAGTACCTGCTGTATTCATGTTTAGGCCTGAGAGCTGGATAGACAAGAAGGCGTCAGGCAAGCTTCATCTTCTCCTCCTAGTGGTGTGACAGCAGAAGATGAATCTCCTCTCTCTCAGAATCTCTTAATGAACTGTGCTGTCGGTTGTGTTCAGTGTCTTTTTCATGTCTCAAATAAAACATCTTTGATCTGACTGAAACAAAAGCAATGAAATTAAGGATTTCCTGCAGGTAACATGTTAATTCTCTCTCTTTGACAGGCCTGATTAAATAAGTTGTTATGACAACACAAACTGATGCAAGCTGGAACCACTAAGGCATTATTATGCAATATTAGGCTCATGGCCTCCTCACCACTGGTGAACAATTAACAACCAGAGGGCGGGGCAGCGCTTTCAGGAAGACACAAAGTCCAAATGTTGTGATGCCACAGTGAAGTAGAAGGGAAACACATGTGTCAGATGTGCATATGACATGAGGTGAATGGCTAAAATATCAAGTACACTGCACATAAGACGTGGGCCGATACTGCTGAGTGAAACAGCTGAATATCCTACAGTTTGAGGAGGCAACATTATCTGGTGATCAGCTGACTGCAAAGGCTGCCAATTAAATAATCCAACATGTGGCAGCAGTGTTTGGGATCTGGAAGGACTCCAAGAGGGGCCCATACCTGCAGTTCTAGAAAGTTCCCCAGCAGCTGTCTGATATCTACTGTACTGTCTCATGTAGACGTCTGTCTTATCTGCTAAAGGAGGTTACAGGTCAAAGACTTGGATTCTCTCCTGGAAATAGCACTTTGCTGGAAAAACATCTGTGCTTTCTTGTTCTCACCTACCTAAAACTCATAGTAGACATTATTTATTATTATTATTATAATTCACACAGAGAAATGAAAGCTTTTGTGCTCTCAGTATTCTGTCTGTGCAGCATCCTCTCTGCAAAGTAAAATGTCTTCTGTGGCTCTGAAGTCTGCAGGAAACTGAAGCTTCAGTGTCCAGAAAAACTAAAACCACAGGTGTTGTACTGAGCCACTGAGCTACATGCACATACAACCAAACAATACCGTTTGCAAAAGCTGGTGGTGTTTTCCCCAACAGGAGCATTTGATAGATCCTTCAGCAGGGCCTTTACTTATTATTAACTGTGTAAAGAAATCGTATCTAATGATCAAAACTCGCCCCTAATCTCCAACACCTGCTCACATCGTTTGCATTTAAACTTTACCTTTATCGGTTTTTCTCTCCCCAACTAGTTTTAAACGCTTTTAAAGGTGTATCCCATTTAATTATCTACATGTAACTTGGCTTAACTGGTTCAGTGGCGGGAATGTGGTTAAACCCGGTGACAACCTCTAGAAAACCAATCAGATCATCCATTTATTGTACCTTCAGTCTAACGAAATCACATACCATCACTGCATGAAACACACACTGACAGCGTCACAAAGTTTGCAGCCAAACGCCCCGTGGAGCCACTGGGGCTGTGATTTACAATCACTATCAGAGCGAATCCAGGCCAAGTCACATGCAGCGCTGCAGCAACAGGTCTCTGACACAGGAGCCAAGTGTCAGGCGCTTTCTGCACTAAATAAACAGCCTCTATCATTTCCAGGCCGCGGATGAATCAACTCACCACTAACGGGAAACTAAAACCGGGGGAAGGCGCAGAGCAAACCCGCGTCTTACCTCTTTTTCTCCTTATCAGCCGTCATGCTTTCTCTTGCGAACAATCACAGTGTTGTAATCCCCCGACAGTTTAAGTTAAGTCCAATTTTGGGGTCAAAACTAGTTCAACATGCAGGTATTACATAGAAGTGCGCAGGTCAGGAGCCCTCTGAAGGATCACGTCATTAAACCTGCGAACTTAGTCCATTAAAGGGGTCTGTGAGGTCCAGGCTGGAGGGGATCGGGGCCGTACAGTCTCAGAACACTGCCGAGGATCGTACAGCCTCTCACCCGCAGAAAAAGTCCACACAAGCTGAGCTGACAACCGAACTGCCGCGGACTGGAGCCACACGCAGGATCACCTGTCAAAACTTTTCCTCGCTTGGATCTGAAAACTCCCAAAGCTGCTCGGTCTCTGACCTGAACCTCAGCTGGCAGCCGGACAGCCGCTGTCCAATTCCCTGGCCGCTGATTGGCTGGAAACGTCGCCGGGAGCCGCCCCCGTTAGCCCGCCCTCTCCTGCGCCTTCAGGCTTCCTACCTGTTCGTCCCCGGTGCGCAACAGGTGTGAGCTGCGGTCACAGACGATACCTGTCAGAACCTCATGATGATGATGATGATGATGATGGTGCAACTGAGCCAGTCTTCTGTTTTCCGTGATCAGCAGCCACCAGTTCTGCTAAAGGAACACTCCACTGAAAAATAAAAAGCCAAACCCTTCGGTGTGTTTTTAAAGGGACAGTTGGAGCACTTTGGGAAAGATGTACAAAAGTGGAGACGTCTAGCGTTGAGCAAAGCTTCCCCCACCTTCTGTTCAAACATGTCGCCTAATATTTATGAAAGTGGATATGTATTTAATTTGTTTTTGAGAATTAAAGAAGCTTTTCATTTGAATGGTTATTCTTGTGTTGTTTTCTGTTTGTTTTTCTTCCTATGTTTGAAATAAATCTAATCTAATATGGTTCATCACTTTTAGGAGAGAAACTAATGAGTAGCTTTACTGATCATTCATTTATCAAAATGATTGCAAAATAATTTCAGTTGATTGATTCTGTTTGCTGGGAGTTTGATGAGATTACTGACACTACTCTTTTTTTTTTTTTACAGTTGGGTCCAACAAGTCAACAAAACACACTGTGCCCATGTGCCCTGAGGTGCACACACAAGCACTTTGTGGTGACAGCACCATTTGTCTCTTTGAGGCCTCCAGTGCTCAGCTTCCCATCAGTTTTCAGTTTGATGGCAGGTCTCACCACATTTTTCAGCAACTAAAAGACAGACAGCTGCTTATGGCATTTAACCTGGTCTTCACTTCTTTAGATGGAAAAGATTACTGAAGTGTCCCGTTAACACACACGCAGCTGATGAAGGTGTCTACACTAGTTTAAAGCTGTTTGTCTACACTGCGGTGAGCTGTTAAATATTTTGTTTAATCTAAAGCCTAAACCATCAGGATTTAACGGGAGAGTCATGTGTAAAAACTGAAACACCAAGAAAACAGAAATTTCTTTCTGACTTCATGATATTTAATTCATTTAAAAAATGAAAATACACCTTCACATCCTTTTAAAATACAGTACACTTGGCACGCAGCGCAAAATAAAACAAATAAACAGAAACACGCATGAAAGGCATGGAAATCATTCATGAAGGAACAAAATGTACATGCAGAGCTTCACAAACACAGGGGCCACAAACAAAGACACGACCCAAGGAAGATGTGCCAGAATGTAGGTAAAACCATAATCCTGTCATCTTGTATTGAAATAAACCATGTCTAACTCCACTGGTGTGAGAAACACGGGAAATGAGTTTGTGTTTTTTTTCCCCTGTAACAAACATAAAACTACGGGGACTGACAGTGGGAAATAAAATTTGGCCTTTAGCACAGAAGCCTTCTGGGACAAAACAAGCTTTCTGGGTCGAAGTGGGACAAACAGTCTGACATTTTTAAATAAGACTAAACATCGAGGCAACAGGAGACACGTTAAGGCAGGAGAAGAGAATTCAGATGACGGACAGCATAAACACAGGCTGAAAGTCGGTTAGACTGGCTTAAATCTTCACTGCTGTTCTTATAAGTGTGTTTGTGTGTTTGTGTGTGTGCTACTGTGTCAAATACCTCTACTGCTACTGCTACTGCTGCTACTACAACACAGTGAGTTTCTGCTGCCTGTTGGTGGCTGGCAGGTTACATGGTGACTCATTAGGCTGATGATTGATTACAAGAAGACTTAACTCACTATAAACGTCCTCTGTAGGTGTGTGTTTGTTGACGTACACGCTCATATTGTTGGGGAAGAGTACAAATCAGCCACAGCTCTAACAAGTTACTGTGCTAGTGGAGTACTGTTCTGTAACATACCTGTGCCCTCAAGTTCTCTCTAACACACCACTTATAACATTCAGACCAGAGAACTGTGAAACCGACACACTCATTCTTTATTCGTGTAATCGCTGCATGATGGCCACAGTACGTTTGATTCAGGTTCAGCAACTAAAACAACTCGGTTAGCAACACAAACAGTCCTGACCTCAGGACCAGATTTTCGTATTGTGCAAAGTTGCACTGCATGTTTTCTTCGATATGAACATGCAGTTTGCATATAGTGTAGGCCTGACCGGCTACTGCAGCAGCAGGCCAACATGCAGTCAGTGCTCAGGACTGATCTTTACACCGCATTCTATGAGCAAAGGCCAGTTCAGATTTGCTCCAACTAGCGATGGAGCAGCTGAGCAGGGCGGATCTGAAAGTTCGACAGAAGTTGAGAGTGGAGCAGGTGGAGATGGGGCTGACATGACGACACTGCACTCACTGATTGATGCTCCCGTTTTCCCTTCTTTTTACACTTCACTCTCTTTCTGAGAATTCAGTTTGGTAACTTTAGTTTATGGGTCAGCAAGATTCTGATATTTTGTAAGTCAAATGCTTCAGTACTGACATTTCTGACCCACACTCACTTATTGTCTGTTGTCAATATGAAGAATAGAAAAGAATGAACAGAATCTTTTTTTACTCCTGTTATCTGCACCTGCTCAGTAACGTGCACTCAAATGCGCATGTCTGTTACTTACAGCATGTGATCAAATGTAATATTACATTTGTCAAAGAGTATTCACTAATGCATAGCTATTGCATAGGACTGCATCTCAGAGGAGCATATGGAACCAGGCCGCCACTGACTGACTGTCTGACATGCTGCTGACTGTGTGCGCGTTTGGAATAATCCTCACGCCTATGTGCCCTGTGAAACATACTGCTGTGCACTTTGTACCAGAACATGTCTGAGAGAAAGAACAAAGATGGAAAGAAAAACTAATGGAAGGCAGAGAGGACAAAAATGCTAAATTACAAAACAAAATTCTGAGTATTGCACATGAAGATGTTTGGATCCTTTTCAGTTCACAATGAAGTCACAAACCTGACCTGCAACACCCCCAGAGTTTCCTCTGAGGCCCGTTTACTTATTTAACCTTCCTGTTATGTTCTGGGTCAAATTGACCCAGTGCAAAGTAACAAAAAAAATCTAAAAAAAATAGTTAAAAATATTTTATTGGTATGAAACTTCGTCTGCTTGGCGTAATAGGTGTGATCAACATATAAAATGAAAATGGTTCAATTCACATATTTGCAACATCCCCCTGCATGTTTATATTACAAAGATACTGTTCAGGTCAACATAACAGGAGGGTTAAAACGTTCCCTCCACGTCCAGGCTGTACAGAGAAGAGGAGGTTCTGAAGCTTTGTGGTCACAGTTTCTGATCAGGCTCTGCATCCACATCAAATCTAAAAATATCTAACTAGATGATCAAGTAAAAACAACACAACTGTGACAAAAACAAAAAGACAAAATGGGTCTCCACATATGTACACACATCGGAGTGTAAACACATTCAGCTGTCACACATTCAGTCACATATGCTGACACATTGGCCTGTGTGTACAACCCATGGCTTTAGTGTGGAATCATGGGGGTTTGGTTTGTCTTGGTAGAGGCTTTACTGTAGGTGCAGTACAGCAACAGATTACTGTAAACACACAAGGCATTTCAAGGATCAGGTGAAGGAGCTGACCTAGAGAGAGATGTGGCTCTGGACGGTGCTGCGTTTCAGGAACGAGCACTAAGATAGAGCTAAAATAGATCATCTGTTTAAAGGGCTCCTTGACATTTTAGAGTTCAGCTCATTATTTGGCCTCAGTGGACAACAGTCTCAAGTTATATAGAAAACTGCTTGTTAATACTGTAAGCTTAGCCCACACCCCCAGTGGGAAGCTGCTGTCGGCAGCTAATGGTACCATTTGGTTTTTAACAAAGAACCGAAACACTGATTTCTAGCAAGCTAAAAAGAAAAACAGCACAACCTTCTCCCTACAGTCTGAAAAAAGCAGCTGAGATCCATGAAACTAAATTTCTAAATGCCAACATGTCACATCTGTGGTGCAGCTTCGTAACTGAAACATTTAATTTACAACCTTTGTCTCTTAAATTTGAAATAGAGCATTGGCAATTTAGATGAGGCTAAATTAAACTAAACTAAAAACACCATGATTTCATCAGAAACAAACTGGAGATTTCTCCCTGGAGACATCTCTTTTCACAATGAATAAAGTACTTTTCAAGAACGTTTTCCTTTAAATACACTGTTTGGTTCAATGTGTTTTTCCCGTTCACATACACGTTTAGGGAAGTAAAACATTCTTTAAGCACAGACGGACACAGGATACGCATCGTCTACAGAAATGACAATGTTACTCTTTCTAGAGATACTGTATGCAGCTATGCATGCATGCACTTGCATACATACATTACCTTTCTCTCATACACACACACACACACAAATACCCCATGATCCTGCCTGTGTAACTACTTTAAAACAGCCCTCTAAAAACAGAGCTGGGTTTTGTTTGCCACTTCGTGTGCATCAGAAATAAATCCGGAGCAACTAAAAGAGCATCAGGGCGTTTTTTACAGTATGTCACCTGTGCTTAGAACATGCTGCTCGAGCATACAACTTGATAGGATATGCACAAATGGACAAACAACTATAGCACAGAAACCATAACAAGAGATACGGATGGTCTAGTATAATTCCTGGAGTTGTCAGAATCCAGAAGGTCTCATTCCAGGGGCTGTGTTTCTTTAAATATTGTTTCTTAAATATTTTAGGTGTGGTGGTGGTGGTATGGACGTATGTAATTAAACATATGTGTGTCAGTGCGTCTAGGCCACGGTCTCATCTCCAAAGTAGGAGAATCCTTTGAACTCGTCTTGGTTGATCTGCTTGATGATGCCGTCGTCCACTGGCGTCAGGATGGGCTCTTCACGTGTAAAGTCCTGGTCAAAGTTATTCACATCCCGTTTAGTTTTCTGGAAGACGACAGAGAAGATTTCCACAGTCTTAGATAAGTTCTGCTAGAGGAGACTGCACAAACAGGTGAGAACACACAGCTTCTCTTCACGTCAGAACAGAACAGTCGTAACATTTACATTCTTCTTCCCCTGCAACAGAATACATTTTTCACAAATGTGTGATTATTCAGTGTGTGCAGGTAAACTCACAATGCGGGGTTTGAACGGTGGTGTGATCTTCCTCTGCTCCAGCAGCATCCAGTTGATCTCGCTGAAGAACGGATGGAGCTTAATGGCCTCCTCCAAACCCTGAGCCACCACACAGCCCAGACGCTTGTTAGGACTCTTAGTCATGAACTGAGCAGCGCCAGAATAAAGGAAAGACATGGAGATGGAGAGACAGAAAAAGAGGAAGTGGTTTGTTTTTCATAGGTAAAACATCTTTAATGATTCTGATGAATTCCTGTTTAAATGCTGAAACTGATATTCACTGACTGAGATTTTAAATGTAAAGGCAATGGAGATTCAAAATCTAAAGTTCAGGAGTAGGACCAATCCCCAAGCTCACACGCCTTCCTCTTCCAATCATTTTTAACCATTAATCATTTTATCTCTGTTCATGCAGGGGGGTCTGCCAGTGCCCAAGAGCTGCACAGACCTCCAAAGCCCACTAACTGACCGCTCTGAGAATAGAAACAGCCTCCTTGCTGAGCCACACAGGGTAAAGGACATCATCATGGAGGATGGACTCAAAGAGGTCGTCTTCATTATCGGCTTCAAAAGGCGGCTGGCCTGCCATCATCTCATACATCAGGACCCCAAGCGCCCACCAGTCCACTGACGGGCCGTAATCCAGCTCCTGAAGGATCTGAACACAAGCAGAGAGAAAAAAACATTTGAATAAAAGAAAGTTTAAAGAAGCCATTTCAGATCTGATTTTACAGTCTTACTGGTGCAGGTACCCTTATAAATGTTTTCACATAGATCAGGACAGTGTTGCCTGATGATCTGAGGCACCACTTCCTATCTCAGCAAAATATCTGAAATGTAACTGAAGGTCTATGATGTTTTGAATGCTATTAATCTGTCTGAAATTAATCCAAATTTCCACAGGTAACCAATGAAGAGCAGATCTGGTTACAGACCCAGGACCTGCAGGTAAATTCAGCTGGAAGCGCGAGCTGATCCTTGAATTTAGAGAGCAGAAAAGTATGAATTATTAACATATCTTTGTCTTATGTACTGTACTTTACACACCCCCTAATTCAGCCAAGGGTCTGTATAAGGGGGTGGCAATCACATAATCAAAAATCACACCCAAATCATAAGCATACCTGAAAGTAAGGTGAAGGGAATTCAGCAAGCTCACTGAATTTGGCAGGTGAGTTTTGATATGTTTAGTTTGTCATACAGACTTCTCTGGCATCCAAAACTTCCCACAAACAAACTCAAAATTGGGAGCAGGTGTCATCTGTACGTAATTTAATTAGAACTTACAGCAGACCATCATCTGCCAACAGTCGCACACTGACAATCCTTATTAATATTAGAATATGTATCCTGTGCACAGCACCTATTAATTCTGAAAGGACTCGCCAGATAAAATGAGAAGCAACTGGGAGGTCTGCTTAAAGTGTACAGTGGGTACGGAAAGTATTCAGACCCCCTTAAATTTTTCACTCTTTGTTATATTGCAGCCATATGCTAAAATCATTTAAGTTCATTTTTT